TATTAGTATTTCAATAAAGGTAATACTTTTCACTCAAGGGTGGTTACATGTGTTAAAACTTGACAGGAGCAAAAAAAAAATTGAGCATTTTCTACTTCATTCACTTATTTTGAGAAAGTTCATTTGATTGAAGAATAGTTCTACAGTAAAACTCCACCATAAGTGGGGTACAAAAACTTTGATTGCATAAAATGAATGATTGAGTTATTGTAAAGTTAATAAGCATAAATTCATGGCCGAAGAAGAGCCAATCTAGTTTCATTATATCTGAATTCAATGTTTTCAATACTCTTAAAAATAGGATAATTAAATAGCACAAGTTCTTTTGTTTGTGGTTAACAGACTTTCTAATATAGACTCAAGAGAAAGCAGGTCTAATTGATTACTAAATAAAGGGCCAAGTCTGGAGTCTATCCTACTCATTTTCTCAGAAGCAGGATCAAAGATGAGGCCAAGGAACAAAGACAGCTACTATCACTGACCACCCCTATCCAACACAGGAAACATGCAATTGTAAGGGCACCACAAGGTTGGAGTGAAGGAAAAGATGAGAAAGATGCAACCCTTTCCAGAAAACAGAATATACCTTTTATATATAATAACAGGTTCCTGTGACTAAAATTAGTGGTCAGAAATATGTGAGCCAATGGGTTCTTCATATATGACCTACTCCACCCCCGTATTTCTTTGGGGCTTTCTTTCTTTTTTTTTTTTTTTTGGTTAATCCTCAACAGAGAATATCTTTTCAATTGATTTCTTTTTTTTTTTTTTAAGAGAGAGTGGGAGGGGGAGAGACAGAGAGAGAAACATCAATGTGAGAGAGACAGAATGATTGGTTGTCCACATGCTCCCTGATTGAGCCTGCAAATGAGGTGTGTGCCCTTGACTGGAACTGACTCCTCAACCCTTCAAACCAGCTATGGCAGGGCTTTATTTCTTTTGAGACCTCTCACCTTTCTTTCACCAAGTGGGTGTGTGGAGGCAGGGGAGCAAGGAGCATCAGTATGTGGGCTTTAAGATACCTGCATTGTGGCATCCGTGGGATATTCTTTTTGTCAGAGGTTCTCAGATCAAGGTCTGTATCAGCATTCTCTCACCACTGAGCAAATAGTTTCCCTTTACTTAAAATGTGGCTTCTATCTTTTTTAGAATAATAGGATTTTAAAAAACTCAATTATAATATTGTATCTGTGTACTTCTTTTATCCATCTAACATCCATAACACCACCATAACCCCATTAAAGAAATAGTGTCAAACTTGACACTGGATCAAATTTCTAAACTCCTAATATGAGAATTGGCATCTGGAATCCTAAAGCCTGCATTTGGCTTGCTGGAAGGAAGCAGGATCTCTAGCTATAGAACAGAGGCTGAAGGTCATATGCTGATTGAGGGTGAATCCTGGGCTCTGAGGTGACAGTGGAAGCCACAGGGAGTATAAATAGGTGCATCAGAGGCCTAGATGAACTGAGGACGGGGCTTCATGCCCAGAGCATTTGCTTCAATAGAGCCGCTCTGCCTTTATCTGTTCTATATACTGCGTTTCATATAAGTTATCTTTTTTTAAAAATGCTGAATACCTCTTGAGTAAGGATACTATCAAATCCTTATTTTAAAATGAAGAGTTGAAGCTCATAAAAGTGAAATAACTTATGTAATGTTATAGGGTTAAGCAAGTTAATTTCTATTATAATGTATTATGAGTTATGGTTGGATTAGTGTGGCTGTTTCAATAATATCCTAACAAGGCACTGATAAATTTAAGTTAAAACTTCTATTTTAATATCCTTTTATAAAAGGAATCAAATGACACAAAACAAATTAGACTAATCTTTCCTAAGTAGACAACAATATGCAGAAAGGCAAATAAAATTTTTAAGTAAAAACCAATTTTAACATAGTTAACAGTTTTTTTTTTTGTTTTTAAATATATTTTTATTGATTTCAGAGAGGAAGGGAGAAGGAGAGAGAGAAACATCAATGATGAGAGAGAATCATTGATTGGTTGCCTCCTGCATGCCCCACACTGGGTACTGAGTCTGCAACTCGGGCATGTGCCCTTGACCAGAATTGAACCTGGGACCCTTCAACCCGCAGGCTGATGCTCTATCCACTGAGCCAAACTGGCTAAAGCTAAACTCAGTTTTGATTTTATCTCTGAATTAAGGTGACTGCGGAGGCTTCTAGACCAATCTACTTTTATAATTCAGGAGGACATAAATATAGAAATAACCATTTCTTCCTGCTATATTTAAGTTACTAACCTGATAAACTATGTTTAATGTCTTTCACAGGGGCCCTTGGCTAGGAACATTAAATTCAATTCTAATATACTCCCTTTCAAATTCAGAACACATGATCATAATTTCCTATTGACCATCATATTTTGGGATTGTGCCTTAGTCCAAAAAGCCCAACCCAAGCCAAAGATAAAATGTTATTTGATCTTTTCTTTTTTTTTTAATTTTTTTTATTTGATCTTTTCTTATTTGTCCTTGGTATATATTCTAAAACAAATAAATCATGTCTAGTGCTTACCTGAGCCATCAGTGGGAACTGAACTTGCATTGATTCCAGAAAGACCAAACAAAGGACATTCTCGATCTGTGTTGACATGACCCCATTTGTGACATTTAATGCACCTCACATTTCGAACCTGAGAAATAGTGAACATTATTTTGGTTATTAAAATATTAAGAATCTAACCAACATTTGGCTCACTACTCCTTGGTAGATTTTAAATTAAATTATTCTAATTTTAAAAAGATTTCCAGAGAAAGAGACTCCATAACTATATTTTATAATCCTATATAATAAAAGGCTAATATGCAAATCGACCAAACGGCAGAACGACCGGTTGCTATGATGCACACTGACCACCAGGGGGCAGACGTTCAATGCAGGAGCTGCCCCTGGTGGTCAGTGTCTCCCACAGGGGAGTGCTGCTCAGCCAGAAGCCACTCGCCCGCCGGCCCCTAGATCACCGGCTAGGCCAAGGGACCCCACCCGTGCACAAATTCGTGCACCAGGCCTCTAGTATTCTTAATAAGAATTGACATGGTAGAACTCAGGTGTTTTTAAACAATGGGTAATATGTATGATATTGTGTCACTATTGGTGAAATATGAATGGGATGTGAAGCCACAGGCCCAGGCCCTGGGATACAAGCATTTCATTTTGCCTGCGATGAAGAGTTCCTGAGGGGGGTTGTCTCTGTGTCAGCCCTTGTTTTCTATTTCTAACAAAAGCACAGGAAAAAGTGAAAAACGTCAAAGGAGAGGCCGCCTGAGCACATCAAATGAGGCAGTGAGACAAGGGCCAAACCTCTGTTGGCAGGTCAGAAACGCAGGAACAGTTCACATGGGTTTGAAGTGGGCAGGGAGGAAGGTAAGTGTTTCATAGTAATTCAAACAAATACATCAGAGAATTAAGAGAATGTACATTAGAATGGGCCAGGAGTTCTTAGCTCAGAAGGGGAGGGATAGAGAAATGATCAGAGAGAAGAAGATAGGAATTATGTAGCTTGGAAGTAAAAAGAGAAAAGGCATGACTATTCACCACAGTTTCTTGATGTCTATTAAATAAGAGTGTGAATTTTAAACACTGGAGCCAACAACGGACAAGTGTTTCACCAGCAGGCTGAAGGCCTGGCTGGAGGTTTACTCTTCTAACCCGGCTCTCTCGCAACAACGGAAGGAGAGATTGCTTCTCAACACCCAGAAGCCATGGAAATGGTGTCACAAAATAACACTAAGAAATGACAGGGAAAACATGACAATACTTAGAAATATGGTCCAGCTGGAGAAAACAATTAAAATGATCTGATAGTAATATAAAAAATATGTCT